ACAAGCTGAAAGGGGGTAAAACAGAATAAATCAGCATACAGAGAAAACCTTAGAGTTTGAGTAAAACAAGAATTCAAATCTCGTTCTTTTCTCTGCTTTGCCATCGTTTTCTCTCCATTTGTGACTTTCACTTGAACTCTTTCTTCCACATTTCGGTCAATCTTATTCGCAACAGATGCTCTCTCTAAGTTTCTCTCTGGCTAACCATAACAAGGTGTGGTAAAGGTTTTCGTTTGTGTGTGCAAGTAATGCAATGTGTGGATCTTTTTGTGAACATGTTTATTAGCTGTGTGTGCTTTAGGAGATTTGTGGTTTTTTACAGGAAGGCATTTCCAGGCCGAAGGGGGTCACTTTTTCCTCCCAACACAGCATCTTTTTTTTTCCTTGCACAAGACAGACATGCAGCCAGGCAGCACCCCACCACGAGTATATAGAAACAAACCAGCTCATTCATGCTGCCAAGATCTAATTAGGATATACAGGTTTTTGTTTTATTTTGCTTTATTTTACCATGGTTACAGACCAGCGTTCTTGCTGGGTCGTATCTGAGTCAGAGGTTCATCAAGTCAGATTCTGGGAATCAAATTGGCAACATATTCCAACAAACTTGAACAAGAAGTACACATTGCAGATATGCTTCTCAAAACGGTTTTATAATTATAAAATAAGAGGGTTCCAGTCGAGCTATAAGGATTTAGTCTTGCTTTTTAAATTTCCATTCATTTTGTGAAATTTGTTGTATTTATTTCAGAGTAAAAAGAGACTTTAAACAGATTCTCTGTGGTCTTCTATCTGGCTTTAATACAAGTTATATGTAAATACCATTAGCGTCCTGAACCATTGTCAAGTGTTAGATGTAAGTTTTCTCTAAAATACATTTTTTATTGATAGAGTAGAAATATTGAGATTGACTCAACATTTTCATTGCTTAAAGTCAGTTGTGACAATGGTTCTCAACGTAAACTTATTAGCTCTTGGCTATTTAGCATACCTATAAAGATTTGCATAAGCAAACCTATTTGTAAATCACTCAAGCTACATTCTTTTTTCCCATTGATAAATCACTGTGCACACACTTTTTTTCTATACCTAAATTAATCAGTTTTAACTCTCAATAATCATGAGGGCGACATCATGTTTCAGGGACACTAGTCGTAATAAGTTAAACATTGGTAAAGCACAAAAAGTTGCTTTCACTGTTACTAAGGAACACCTCCATTTGGTTAATTGGAAATAACAAGGTGATGACTTTTGTCTTTAATTTGTAATGTGGACAAACTACACCAAAGTAAGGTTAATGACTTTGTCTAGCAGCAGATGAACATTTTCTGGAAGTAAGGTCTTTAGGAAATTTAAAAAAAATGCAGCAGAAACCTGGGCAATCCTTTTTTTTTATTCAGTTAATTAAACTATAGTATTTAATTTTTCAGTTAATAGCTTTGGATTGAGACATAAATAAGTGAAAAGGCAGTCAGTGTTCAACAAGATGCCCAGAAAACTTGAAATAATTTTTAAAAAGTCCTGCTTGTTGGAGTTAAAGGTTGAGCTTCTAAACATTTGCATGTTGGTGTTAATTTTTGTCTTTTGTGTAAATACAGGGTGATTACTGTTCCATGAGAATCGTGAGAAGTTTGCAGATGTAATTATTTATTGTATTTTCAGTTGCCCCAGGAGAGATCCCAGTTTGATACTCATGAACTCGCAGTCCATTATCATTGTGATCACTTCCTCAGACACATTTCAGCACTAGTTTATCATGGGAGAGCTTTTCTCTGCTGGTCCTCGTCGTGTAGCGGTCAGGATCAGTTGCTGGGATGGGGATCAGCAGACGAGAGAGGACCCGAACAGATGATCAGTGTTAAAACTCAGCAGCACGCCCAGACCTACATGACTTGATCAGAGGGTATCAGTTTTCAGCCCTTCTGAAGGAAAACCACATAATAATGTGACACAGCAGATTTAGTTTTGGCCATCCTCTCTGGCTGTGTAGTTGTTAGTAGGTGTGTATGTATATGTGTGTGTGGGTTCTCCTTGGTTGGCTTCAATAGAACAGATTCAGGGCTGACAAAATTAGAGCTGTCACTTACGCAGGGGTGTATAGGAGGTTTCTTTGAAGCCCTCGGAAAGGCTAAGGGAAGGCAGTGGGATTAGAGAGTGTGAAACCCTTATATTGAAAAGAAGTGTGTGTGTGTGTGTGTGAACACCAGATAAGGGACTGCAGACCTGAATGTGCAGGCATGTCTGTGTGAGGTGAAGGAGGGCGTATGAGAAATGTGAAAGATGGAAAACAAGAAGACATTTTTCTCTGACAAAACACGAATCTCATGATGTTTTGAAGCTTGTAAGGACACGAGGACAAACACCCTCTGCAAGAGAACCCGTGTGTCATGTGTCAAATTTAACTCCTGACATTCTGACATCAGATTATTTAAAAAATGCTTTTCTTTTAGACATGCATACACTGTGCTGTCTCTGTAAGCACGTATATAAACCGAAGGAGAACATAATGGTATCCTAGTAAGCCTCTTTAGCCTTACTCTCCCCCGTCTTCGGTCATTTTTCTGGATACACACATGAGCAAACAAATACACTCTCTCACTAGTATTTCCCATCACTTCATAGCATCTTAAATTGACCTGAATAAGCATCCTGGAGACTTACTGGAACCTAAATTTAGATTTCTGCTTGTCTGACTTGGTTTGATACAAATATGTCCAAAAGCGTATAAAATGTCCCTGTTAACAGATTTGATATTTTGTGAGTAATGCACACATGATGATGAGGAGAGAAATAATTAGGGATGAAGAAAGAATCCTCCAATGCTCTGAGGAGACGATTTAAGTGTTATGGTTGGCCAGGATCTTTCCTAAGTGCTGCTGGGAAATGGAACGGAGGCTTCCAGTAGGTCAGGTGACGTGCAGCTCAAGTCATGTGATCACAAGAAGAAAGAGCCAGAGATGAAGAGTATCGGCACACGGCTTGACGAGCACACACACATACACACACAGATGATTTGTCAGTTGCTAATGGGCTTTCCTCAGGAAAGTGGTTGCAGCAGTATGATTGGGGCGGGTGGGTGGGGGGCATCAACGGTTTTAGGCCTTCTCTCAGACACGTTATTTCTGAAAGCTTTAGTGTGTATTTAAAGTGTGTTGGTGTGTTTAGAGTGTGTGTGCAAGGAAGTCATATGATGTAGACAAGGCCCTGACTTGTACAGTGTGACAGTATGAGATCATCTCAGCAGCTCCTAATCTTTGAAGCAGCTCACAAGGTTTTCTAATTGCTTAAAAACACTCGCTCATCGTGACGTGGCAGCGCTGCCAGATGTTGCACCAGGTGTTTTTCTAAAAAAAAAGGTTAAGGACACAGTCTGTTGTTCAGTCTATTTTGTGTTGGGATTATTGACATATTCATATACAAAATTAGTGCAAAACTTACAAAAACTGATATATTTTTTATCTATTTTATGAAACGTGGTCGGACATTTGGTAACATCTTCTTGTTATTGCTGTGGGGCCATTCATATTTGGAATATACAGCTAAAGAATGTGTGATCACAGAGGTTCTGACAGCTACATTTGAACATAAATCCCCTTAGAAATGAGGATTCATCTTCTCATTTTATCACTGTCGAGCCCCAGTTGCTGTGATTTTTTTTTTTTTTTTTGAAGTGTCAAATACGTCGTCTGCATTTAGACCAAAAATTTAAGTTAGGAACTGCTCAGACACGCTCTAAAAAAAAGCAAATGAACACGGACTGATTGGATATACAAACCAATTAAAAATGCCACATTTTAGACTTCAACTGAGGTATTGATATTTTGGAAAACACAAAATCATTAAGGCTTTTTTTTGGTCTCTTAAAATGAAATCTGTGTAAACACTGCAGGCTGGAGCAACTAGTGTCCGTGTTTAAAACCACACATTTCTACAAGGTCTTTAAGGAACTGGCCTGTTCACACAGTGCGCCTGTTTATCGAGGCGGTAATGGTAAAGAAAGAATGTCCCTAAAGTGCGTGATGGAAGAATGTGAACTGTACGTTTCTTTTGATAGCTTTGGTCAAGCTTCCTTGATAGATAAGAGCACAATAAAACTGTTGTGTAAGCATTATAAACATTCAAGCAGCATGAACTCAAAGACCCTTGAAGTTATTTGATATTTTGACAATAATTCTCAGAATATTTGCCATTATAAACATTAGGACAGTAAAATATTTACTGCAAAGTTCTGCTTGGTCTACAGTGCAGGTTACGTCGATTGATTCGTCACAAAACGTCTTAACATAAAGTTGGAGCATACCTTGTGCGGGTCAAAAGAAGGTGGAGCAGAACGCAGCCTCAGACTCTTAATGGGTGTTTGTGGCTGTCTGTGTGAAGAAGAAAAGACAGAGCAGTTTTATCCACATTCCTCACTGGAAAACGTCTGCAGTGTATTCTGATAGGATCAGATCTCACAATTCACCGCGCTTTATGTTTTACTGTTGTGTTTATGTTTTCCATAGATAGATACAATTATGTTACCTAATTTTTCTGCCTAAATCATTTTTATTTACCACAATGTGTTCGACATAACTGTACTTCATCCATCTACCACTAACGGTGCGCCACAAGGCTCAGTATTAGATCCCACTCTTTTTGCAATTTATATCATTTTTTAACTGCATTTTTACTGTAGTTCATTATTATTATTGTTGTTATTGTTGTCTGTACTTTATATGCACTGTCTGGAACAGGTTTGTCTTGTAAATGTGGCATTGTGGCACATTGAGAAATAAAAGTTGAATGAATGACTGAATTTAATCTGCTGATTAGCTTGACTATTTAACCTTCCCAGCTCCTTCCCTCTTGACTTGATTGTAATTGCGTTCACTATAATAGTGCTGTATGTCTGATTTGGAGGTTGGATGGTTGTCCTTCCTAAAGATTTCAAATGTGCAGTGCGTTGTTTTTCTTTGTTTTGCATGTTCTCGACTAATTGTCCCCCTCCGTCCTGTTTGCAGGACCGTAAGCTGTCCAAGTCGGAGCGTCAGCGGTTCAAAGAGGAAGCCGGGATGTTGAAGGGTCTCCAGCATCCTAACATTGTCCGCTTTTATGACTCATGGGAGGGTTTGTGCAAAGGAAAGAAGTGTATTGTTCTTGTCACCGAGCTCATGACATCTGGCACATTAAAAACGTGAGTACACGAGATTACCTGAAATTTATTAAAATTTAGGGAAAAGTGCAACTATAATATCAAAGTTTTTCCCTGACACACACCAGCAATTCTTTTATTTTGTGTTTTTTATGATTTCACACTTTAGTTCTTAGTACCTCACATTCCAGCAGGATTTTTGTGTCGAATTAAGCTTTTAGCAAAGCACTAGTGAGAATGTAACTCATTATAAACTAAGTCTGTGTGTTTTATTCTGTTGTGTGGCTCGCTGTCTATATAATATTTGAATCATGATAAAAATTATATGATTAAAAACATAATGCAAATGTTGCTCATTCACAAAAACATAAATGTGCATGGATGTTTGGGATGCTGTTTGTCATTTTTTCACCTCAGTCTCTGCCCTTCCTTCCCCCAAACCTGTTGTAAAGAACAAACATTTATTTGTGCATCTGTGATCGTTACTGTCACTGTCGAGCTTCTGTTATATTCAATAAAAATGTGTTAGTGTTCAGTCTGCGCCTCACCGTGCACCTCGGACCATTGCCAACCCACCTGCCAGCTGCTGCTTCTGCTGCAGATTCCTCTCATTCCTGACATTGTTCCTCGGTTAGTGGTACAGGCAGATGGATGGACGACTGCGCTGACAGATTCGTGCAGTTCCGGAAATCAAAGGGAAAGAGACGGAGACAGAAAAGCCAGAATGAGAGAGGCGCCCGGAGTTTTGTCAGAATAAAATGCAAATAAAGGGTGTCATTATAGATCACCAAAGTGATGGGACTCACCTGTAACAGCAGAGGGAGAAATGGTTCAGTTGCACAGCAGCACCCTCCACTGGCAGACTGAAAAGGATTCAAAAAAATCTTATAAGATGTTAGCATTAATTCTATTTGCAAACAAGAATGTGTTGCAGAAGACGGTCTGTATTAGTGAAACATCCACTTCAGTTCAGCCAACATTTTTCCTCGTCAAGCTCCAAACGGTGACTTTGTACATTGTAGCTGTAAAACAGCAGCTGACATTATTCAGATTGGTGTTTATTAGAATATTTGTGTTTAACCGAACGTACGCAAAAAACTCAAAACTCACACACGCACACACACATGCCTGTTCTTGCCAGCACCTACAGAGCATGCTGGTGGGTTTGTGAACAGGACGAATGCTACACAGGGGTTCGGCTGTCATCCAGATAAATTCTTAGAAAGGAGAGGTGCTGCTCTGTGCTGAGGCAGTGGAAAAAGAGAGTGACGACAGGAGAGGAGTGTGTGTGTGTGCTGGGGGGGGTGAAGTGATGGGGAGGGAAGAAGATGTTGAAGATGGAAACACTGACTGGTTCAGCCAGTAAGAGGCCCCTTATCAACGTCTGCGTGAGAGACGTTTGTGCTTCTTTATGTATTTTTTATATGTATATGTAAAATTATTCAGTGTGGTTTATGTGCTGAAATTAGAGCCAACTTTGTGGGGGATGGGAGGGGGGGGGTACTGCAGCATTGCTCCAATGCTGCTACATGCCACAGGATTTAACTTGTCTGTCAGCACTGCTCTGACTTCAGAATGGGAGAACATTAAAGTAGAATAGATGGGTGAGGGCAGGAGTGGGTTGTGAAGGAGGAATGATGGTGCTGCTTTTTAAAAAAAGTGGAAGAAGTGAGAATAATGAAGGAAGTGTGGGAGAAAGTAGCACGTTTGATTTTACCAATGTACATTTTTGTTATTTTCACTTTAGCGCCCTTTATATATAGAATATATAAGATCTATATTTAAATCTGCTCCGATGTGAAAGTAAATGAAACCCCTCAGATAATTTTTGACAAACACAGTTACAGATATTAAACAATTCAATTAAATGTATATAGAGCCAGTTCACAACAAAAGTTATTTCGGGGGAACTGTACAAAAAAAACCCATCCAAATCATAAATTCAATTGAGACCTGGATTAAAATCCAATTACAGTGAATCATTTGATTTTATAATGTAATACATTCACATAAAGTACATTATGAAATGCTAATTAGTAAAAAGTGATGAAAGCTAGCTGATTTCTGTCTTCCTTAGAGTAAAAAATGTTTGTTTTTTTGCAGCAGTCTGATGAATAAAGCATCCAGTTTCCCTCTTTATAATAGATTAGTACAGTAGTTTTAATGGAAATGCTTACATTTTCCTGACTGGTTTAAAGGTGTTTGAGTGCCGTCAGAGACACAGTGTCACAGCTGTCATTTGGACCTCTCTAACGCAAGTGGGCAGATCTGTGTTCGCTGCATTATTACAGCAGCTGGCTACAGTCTGGAGCTGGAGACAGACACTCATCTGCTCTACTTCTGATCAGCTGACTGGACTCAGAACAGGATGTCAACATGTTCTGACAGATCAGTGTGCTCTGCAGTGGTTTTTGTAACTACTTTAATCAGTTCAGCTTAACTCAAAGCTTGGACAAAATCGAGGATAATATTAGTTTTAGGGGTTAAAATAAAACCGTTTTAGTAAATAAAACCTTTGTTTTCTTTGTTTGTTTTGATATTGATCATTCTCTGCTTCCCAAGAGTGACTGCTTAAATTTAGAGCACAGCTGATAAGAGAAGAGTAACAAACTAGAAAGTTCCTGGAGAAACTTGACGGAGACTGCCACATGGTGGCCATTTTAAAATTTAGACAAAAATGCCTATGTTTTGATATATACCGTATTTTCCGCCGTACACGTCGCATCAGTCCAAATATGTCTAAAAAAGTGGAAAAATCCATAAATATGTCTCTTCGCCGTATATGTCGCATCTATTATACATCACCGCTGACGCGTTGCGTTTATGCGTCACCGCTGACAACCTGAGATGTGGCCGATGTGCCAAAAATCAATCGGCTGCCAAATGGCGGCCGCAGGAGCGTGCACGGGAGGACTTTAACACAAATTTAACAAGACTAACACTTAAAAACAATTATTTGTTTGCTCAAAATAATAGTAAAGGTGTGTCTCGGTCTAACGTTTACTTAATAAAAGGACTTAATAAAAGGTCAAATCAGCTGTATTTCAAAATGATTCACTGCCTCGGTGCTCCAGGAGCGCTCAGACGGAGAGGACAAAAAAGGAGGAACGCTGCTCGTTTCTTCGAATTTTAACGAGATAAACACCTAAAACAATTATTTGTTAACTCGAAATTATAGCAAAAGTGTGTCTCAGTTGAACTTTTACTCAATAAATTCACTTCAATAGTCAAATTAGCCGCATTTCTCCGGGGCGGTGCATCGAAATGAAGCTGAGGTTGCTCCAAGCAGCGAGCAGAAAGAAGGTGGGGGAATATGGCAAGCCGATTGTGTCATTAATAGCTGGTGAAGATTCTCAGTCATCCAGGACATGGTAAATTCAAAAAAGTTCAAGACAAAAATAATAAAGTATAATAAAGTCCAGTTGTTTTTGTCTTGAACTTTTTTGAATTTGTCATTATAGCCACGTTTACCTATTACATGATACAACGGCATCCCTTTCTGCTACTACTACTCTGCTGCCATCAAGTGGCTAAAGTGGTACTGCTCTTTTTTTCCAGTCAGAATGAATGAAAACAGTCATATCTCAGCCCCCCCCCCCCCCCCCCAAAAAAAAAAGGTTTATAAATATGGGAAAAATCCATAAATACGTTGCTTCGGCCTATAAGTCGCAGGGCATGTAAATTATGCAACAACAAAAAAAGCGACTTATAGGCAGAAAAATACGGCAATACACAAGCGTATCTTAAAAGATGTGGTGGTAGGAAGAGTTTATTTGATGACCTCGAGTTTTCATCAAAGAGCTCTCCACTCGCTGTGTCAGTTAGATGCTGTGAAGAGTCTGTCAAGCTTTCTAAATGGGGGTAAAATGGCACATTTGTTTGCAAACTGCGTCGCCTTGGTAACTCAAAACGCCAATAAAAGTAATAGCACACATCACGGTGCCGAGCTGATCATTTTGATATGACACTTGTGGGGGGTACACGGTGGGGTTTGGGTCACATTAAAGTTGACGGAAGAGTAAGATAAAGTCAAGAAACCTTTTTGTTAGGTGGATAATAATAGGTGCTGCCTTACCAGACAGTCCCCTACAAAATAAAAAAAATTGAATGATTTTGCAGCTCTTCGAAACTAAAGTCTTTGTATGAGAACTCCCCAAATAGAAACTCCCACATTCTGATGCCAGGTGGACAGACTTTTAAACAGCCACAGGTGTGGATCTGTTTTGGCTCTAAAATGAGCTGGATACATCTCAAAAAGATGTTTCCCTCTTCCCACACAGCGTTCACTGGGATAGGCTTTAGATTTCTCTGATTTTAAACAAAAATATGACAGCTGTGCTCTAAAAGACTAAAAATTAAGAGTGTTGCAGTAAATAATACCTGGCTGCTTTCACTCCTGACTGCTAAATTGGTGAATTATTAACCTGATATAAACGTAACATGTTATATAAATCAGTGCAGCTTCAGTTGTTTCACTAGAAGGTGGAAAACTATTTGCCTGAGATTTACTAGTATGAGCTCAAATAGAATAAATGAATAAAATGGTTAAATGGACTTCAGAAAATAGCCTCACCTTCTTTTTGTGATTTGATTAAAAAGGAGCTTTGAGAGCTGTTCACTTCAGCCCTTTAATCAAGCTCTTTCAAATAAAAACTACATTTTATTCTCTGTCAACATAGTGATTTGTCCACTGGAATAATGAGAGTTGTCTCTAATTTTGCAGGCGCCACAAGTTTTGCTGGTGTCGCGTATGTGAACACAGGCATGAGACAATTTATGAGGATCTCTTTAATCTGGGGTTAGATAAGATTTAAATTTATTTAAGTGTCCTCCTTTGTTCTCTTGCTCCCTGTCTTTATTGTGTCCATCTGCTACGCTTTGATTTGGACTAATTAATTTTCTCGTGGTGTGTTATCATTCTAGAGCATCATGTGGAAAAATATAAAACTGTTCGAGCACTTGTCAACCTCAGACATCTGGTTCATAATTTAAGAATGGGTTTGTTATGGTGCTGGTTTCTTTAGCTGGTAGACAGTCAGAGATACTGGCTGCTGCTGGTTTGTTTTCCATTATTTTGCCTCAACGTGTGACCTTTTGTGGGATTTCTTTCTCCCGTAGGTACCTGAAGCGTTTTAAGGTCATGAAAATTAAGGTTCTGCGTTCGTGGTGCCGACAGATCCTCAAAGGCCTTCACTTCCTGCACACCCGAGCTCCACCTATCATTCACCGAGACCTGAAATGTGACAACATCTTCATCACGGGGCCCACGGGCTCGGTGAAGATCGGAGACCTGGGGTTGGCCACGCTGAAGAGAGCCTCCTTTGCCAAAAGTGTCATAGGTAGGAGAACGTGTGCAACAGCTGAAGATGCGGGAGGTGCACACGGGTGCATATCTGGGCCAAAGCAGGGAAAGTGAAACAGGCAGGATCGTTTACTGGAGTAATAACCACTCAAAATGCAAACATGCACACATTAATTTTACTGCTGGCTGTTACAGCAAACCACAGGTATTTGAAAACAAAACCACCTCCAGTCAGTCTGCTGGTAAACTAACATTAAGCTGTCTGGGAGTGTAATGGCTGCTAACAATACACACTTCAACACAGTCAAGCCTTTGGTTTCCTTTCAGCTGTGTAGTATCGAAGCTGACCACAAGTATGTTTTTACTGACGCACTTTTTACACACCAAGTACGTGAATGCACACACCAACATGCACTGGAGGGAGGAACGATACGGCACAGCTTCTTTGTAGTAATTAGCGTGACCTCAAATGTTTGGACACGTCCAAAATTCTCCCCATGGAAAAGAAATATGATACAAGTTAGATGTTTTATGGTAAATTTGAAAATGTTTTATTATGACGGTTACAGTACTTGAATCTTGTTATAAACATGAACTGTTTTCTGTAACATTCTTTAAAAAAAAGATGGATATTCCAAAAAAAAGTATCACTGAAACGACTGTTTTGCCTCTTATTGTGCAAATGTGTCATCCTCGACAAGATGTTGGATTGTAGTTTTGTTTTGTTTTTTCTAGGTACCCCGGAGTTTATGGCTCCAGAGATGTATGAAGAGAAGTACGACGAGTTGGTAGATGTTTACGCTTTCGGGATGTGTATGTTGGAGATGGCCACCTCTGAGTATCCCTACTCTGAATGCCAGAATGCTGCACAGATCTACAGACGAGTTACTAGCGTAAGTTCTTTTCATTGGAGAGTTTTTCTTACGTCCATGAGCCAAAGCTAACAGTCTCGTATGTGTTTTTGCCTCTATTCTTCATCCTCTGTCGTTCCCCCCACCACTTGTTTACTGACTGTATTAATAAGTTCGGCCTGAGCTGCAGCAGCTCCAGTCATATGATGTTGTTTCTTTGGGCTCTGATTAATCCTTCTTTTATGTTCTCCCCCCTCTTATTCGGACATTTTCTTGGAAAATGTATTAAAAACAGAAGAAACCACACCATTCTAGGAAGACATCTGTTTTATCCCCACCTGTATATTTCACTATTCATGTTGGTTCCAAACAACGTGCTCTCTAAGCAATAGACTTTTTCTCTTTTTGATTTTGCAACATAATTTTTTTTTAACATTGGCAGTTTTTTTTTTTTAACTCTGAAACACTTTAAGGGGAAAAAGAGACAGATTAAGTGAAGAGCAGTTGCAGTCAGACGCCGCTCAGCCCGTTGAGCCTCTGAGTGCTGCAGATGAAAACACAAACAGATGAGAGCTGTGTCCTTTTATACCCTCACAGAATGACTTTAGCTCAGTGGAGGCTAACAGTGATGCTTATTGGACCAGAGGAGTTTGCAAAGCTTTTTCTCTCCATTTTTACTTTATCTTTTCTCTCGGCATGTCTTATTCCATCTTTTTTTCCCCCACCAATTCTCTGTATAAATTTGAGTGCATCAGTGCAAAAATAAAACATAAATGGAATGCTTTTACAATTGGATATATTTTTAATGATATAATACAAGCAGGTTTTTTTATAATGGAGCACCATTTAAACAAATGTTTTTGTTTTTTTAGGCCTGACATTAGTCATTCTTTATTTATACAAGTTAATCCCATTGAGCCTCGGGGATTCATTTACAAGAGAGACCTGATTATAAAAGATTATAATCACTTTTTTGGCTCATAACTTAAATCAGTTAGTTTTAGTTTTGCTAAATATTTACAGCTGTAATTCCTGTGTTTAATATATATGTTTGATCACTTTCCTTTAATGTATTCATGTTTCTTTTAAAGTTTTATTTCAGTCAAATATTTGGTTTATTTATTAAGTGCTCCTCTGTACCATCTGGCTGGCACAGTCAAAATAAAAAGATCTGGATTAAGATTACGTCTTTCCCTCAAAGGAGTCTTTTGTAAGGAAGGAAACAGTCCTCCATCGTACATCTCTGTTATTTTTCTGTCTCTGAAACTTACAATTTAATTTACGATTCAGACTGTATTTTAAATCACATTTCTGGCCATCACTCTCTTTTACCCTCCTTTCCTTTTCTGCGTTTCTGTCTCATCCAGATGTCGATCAGACCATATTAGATTATTGTTATTATGACCTTAGCTCTAAGGTTCATCATTCTGCATGTGTTTCTGTAATATGCTTTTGATGGAGTGATCTTGTATGCTTGAGGCAACAGAGAATTTAGTAAGTCAAACAGCCACCTTCAGTTTTCTGTTCTTATAATTTTTAAACCAAACCTTGTGATGACCTCAAGGTGCTTTAGTCACCATCTTGACTTCTAGTGACCAGATTCACACCCCCATCTCTCTGTCTGACTGTCATGAGTTTGTTACACATTTCATTCATAACCTTTTGTTAAATTTATTGTAAACATGTTTTTAAGACTTCTTTTTTTGTCAATTGTTATTTGGTTACTCTTCTTCCTTTTTCATTCTCTTCATTCATTAGCTCCTCAAAGTACTCCTTCCATCTTTCTGTCACATTCTCCTCACTTGTTAGAACATTACAATTCCTATCTTTAACAAGCCTAACTTGCTGCACATCCTTTCCAGCCTGATCCCTCTGCCTCACCAATCAGTACAAGCCTTTCTCGCCCTCTTTGTCATTTGTCATTTCTGGAAATTGTGCTGACAACAACTTGATTTTTTTCTTTGTCAACCATTCAGTTGTAAATTTCCTGCGTTGTTTGTTTGCTTCCTGTTGTCTTTTTGCATCAGGGCTCAGTTGTAGCCAAGCTTCAGCTGTTTAACAGATGTCCTCATATTTGAATAGTATTCAGAGGAGTACAGGTCCCTCTTAAAACTAGCCCAAATCATCAGTCCTCCACCACCATGCTTGATAATTGGTACAAATCTGATTTTTGTCAACAAGATGTTGTGTATTTCAGACATACACGTCAACTTTGGTTTCATCTGTTCTAAGCACATCGTTCCAGAAGTCTTGTGGTTCATTCGGATGTAACCAAAGTCATCACATGAACAATTTGTGCAGTCTGAGCTTATCATCTGATTTATAATTCTCAAAACATACCTTCAAAAAACTCAAGATGTTCTTTAAGATAATTCTGACTGTTTGGCACACTTAAAAAAAACATTTACCATTTGTTATGACAAACATTTGAGCAGATTTTTTGTTAGGGTTGGTGTACTGATATGTTCAATTTCAGACAAATATTGGTCAATTTTAGACTTCACAGAGCTTCTTAAAGTATTTTTCAATTGATTTTTTAAAGGCATTTTGCAATAAGAACCTAGTTTATGCTCAAATCCAGAGGACCATATAACAGGATTTCTCTGACCCTGTTAAAGAAAACATCCTTCAGCATCAAGCTGCCACCAGCATGTTTCTCTGTAGGGATGTTATTAATGAGCGGATGCTCAGTGCCTGGTCCCCTCCACACACGCTCTTGGGAAGCTTTGTCTGAGAGTTGTACAGGTGCCGTTTGGCACTTATCCAGCAGGAAAAAAATGGCCCGTTTGCCAAGGAGACTTTTGTATTCACTCATCATCATTTCCTGACAGTGCATTGCACTGGGGTTTATTCTGTAAGATTTTAGTCTCTCTCTATCCTTCTAAAAGGTTTTATTATTTATTTATTTATTTTTCAGATTTCTTTTTTTTAAGCTCTTGTAACTTCACAGAAACATTACTGCCCTCTAGTCCCTTACGGGAAAAATAGACCATAGAGAAATCCCATTATAAATGCGTTTTTGATCTCATAATTATCATAATAAAATGATACAATCCTTTCAAAATTTTTATTTTTAAATCTCCTTTGGCTAAACATTTGACTTTTATATGGCCCAAAATAATTATATATATATATATAGATAATGTATTTTGTACCATTTTCCTAGGGCTGGACAATAATTCAATATTGATGTATATCACAAGATACTTTTATTCATTAATGGTGATATGAGTTTTAAGCACATTTTCAATATTTCTATATACATTGTGCCATGATTACAGTGTTTCATTGACGCATTTTTTTTTCTGTTCGAGTTGAAGCGGCCGCTTCAGCCCGAACAGAAAAAGCCGTGACACAACTATGTAAGTGCATGGCGACGTACACCAAAGCTCGAAGGAGCCAGCGATAGCAGGCTAGGCTCACGGTAAGTTTTCGCTTCAAAATGAGTGCCCGTGACGATCAGAATGTAACTGAACAAGCTTTCACAAGCAAAGAGAAAACAGATGACATAACTGATAAGAGAGGAAAGACCAATTCAGCAGTGTGGAAGTGGTTCGGATATCTTAAAATCCGATAAACTGCAGGTTTGTGCTGCAAAATGTGCCGGAGAATCGTTCAAACTAGCAGTGGGAACACATCTAACTTGTTCCATGTTTCCACTTGATAGAATATGCTGAGAGTCTGAAGATGAAGCACAATAAAAGTTTGAGTCAACGTGTCCCTGAAATATACCCCCAGCTGTATCAAAAGAGAAGCAACTTAACCTACAACAGCATAACCTAACCCATGCAGCTAACGTCTGTGTTTGCTGCATGGGTTAGGTTATGCTGTTGTTTAAAGGTAAAACTATTAATATTGACAAAGTTGAGAGTTTTATGTTTATTTGACGGTGAATTCAAATTTCTTTGAAGGCTAAATCCAAATAAAAGTAGAATATTAATTATTTGTAGTTTTTCTGAGGCTTTTTATATTGTTTATATCAATATCGGAATTATATCGTTATCGACCGAAATTAAGAAATATGTCATGATGAAAGTTTTGGCCATATCGTCCAACCCTACGTTCTCCATATTTTGCCTCGATGCTGTTTACCTGCTTTATTTTCTTTTGTTTGAAATCCAATTACAGTCCAGTCAACATGCTCAAGAACCATACATTAAGTAGCACCAGAGCTCTGTTTGTGTCACAAAGAAAAACCAAGTCTGAATCGGGACAAAAGTTGAGACAGTTGAAATGGTGTTTCCAATGGTTATTACAGTAAAGCCCTCTGTTGTGTAGAGCTCAACGAGTCCACAACTTGTGTTGTTGGCTCAACTTAGACTTCCTCCCTCTTGAACATTCCTTATGTTCAATTAGGCTTATTTAACTATTATGTAGCTGTCCCTCAGACTTAATGCCATTACGTCCCTCATCAGTCCTAACGTTGTTTGACCCCAGAGTCTCAGTGGTTTGTGTGCTTGCCACAGATGGGAGAGAGATGGGGGCGGTGGGGGTTATATAATGACAGACTGGTGGGGCAGCAAGAGAAAACCATTGCAAGAAAAGAAAATGGGAGATGAACAGAATGAAATGGACTCCTTGAAGCTTCAGGTTGAGATTACCCAACTATCAATTAAATTACGAGCGTAGACGTCATTTTTCAAAAGTAGTTCGGCCGTCCACTTCTTTAACTTCTTTATAGGTAAGAAACTTACATTTTAAAATAGTCCGTCTCTAATGTGTTCAGTAACTGTTCAGTGTCCTGCCTCGTTCAATATTTCAGTTTTGCTGTTAAGCTTTTGGCTTTTAAATGTGTTTTAATTGTACGTCAGGCAAGCTTTTACTCAGCTGAAGATTTAACAAAGAAAATAAAACTTTTAAATAAAACAATGCCAACAAATGAAAATATAATTTACTTTAGCTCTTAAGATTTGATGTAAACTTATGTCATCACTGGTCAGTAGGTGTGAAAGGTTCTCAGCAGCTCCCAGCGGTGCAGTTTTTATATGAAATCTGTATTTAAAGTAAAACAGAGATTTAACGTACACACAAAACCGTCATCTTGGGTGTATCTTCTTGGTTTAAGTCATTGAAAAGTCCAAGTTGTTGAACTGGATATACGCACCAGTGACCCCCGTGACCTGTAAAGGACAAAGCTGGTAAAGATAATGGATTGGTGGAAGTTGAACTACTTAGTGCCACATTTTGGATAATGTTTTATCTGTTAATACTGTTGTTGTGCTTGGGTGTATGTGTGTGTTCAGATTTTTCATCAAGGGACAGTCAGAGTTTATTATGTTTCAGCCAAGAACATTTGGTACCAAACGTCTGGAAAAGGTCCCTGCTGATTGTTCTCTCCTAATTGCTTCTAAAAGGCTGTGATTCAATATTTATGCCTTCAGCTGTGTTTATGTGGACTATAACCTCCGGTCAAACTATTTCTGGACACTCTGACACAGTAATTTTCCTCACTGTCAAATATTTGTACCAAAAGCACCTACTTTTGTTTAATTTACTTTATTCCTGCATATACTTGAGTCTGAACACCAGTTTTTTGGTGCATACTCACAGGAAGTATTTATATGTACTTCATATGTACATTTGTGTATGAAATAACTGTAAATGTCAGGGTTTTTTTCTAGGCACTGGTAAAGAAGAACAAAGCGTGTTTTGCTGTTTTTTCCTGTGTGGAAATGTGCACGGATAAAAGCTGCCCTGGGTTTACTGCTTTTGTCCTTTTCTTCTGCAGGGAGTCAAGCCTGCCAGTTTCGACAAGGTAGCCATTCCTGAGGTGAAGGAAATTATAGAGGGCTGCATCAGAACGGACAAAGATGAGAGGTGAGTCACACAAGGACTGTATGAATTATTTCCCATTTGGTGATTTGTGAAGGTTTTGGTTTTTGTAGGAGACTTTATGTTCACAATATTTTCTAATGTTGTCAGTAAGTGGTTGTTAAATAGGATCATGGAAGAACCTCATCAGGTGATGCAAACATTTAATTTTGTGCTGAATTTCTGCTTGTCCTGAGAGATTGAACTGACTAATTCTCCTTTCTTTATCTTCGTGTTAGCTTGCATTTGTGCAAAAATAAAAACCTTGTTCCTGTTGTGGATCTGCAGTCAAATGATCAAACCTTTAGGCTGGCCGTTTTACTTAATCAACTAAAGCGACTTTTATCATTTTTATAATTCCATTTTGAGTCGTCTTTTTTTTTAAATACCGTATTTTCCGTCGTACACGTCGCACCGCCCTGTAAGTCGCTTCAGTCCAAATACATTGTCTAATAAAGTGGGAAAAAAACATAAATAAGTGGCTTTGCCGTATACGTCGCATCTATTATGTGTCACCGCTGACGTGTCGCATTTGTTATGCGTCACTGATGGCAGCTCGGGAATGTGGGCCAGTGTCGTGCCAAAAATTGATTGGCTGCCAATTGGCGGCCGCGGGAGCGTTCATGGGAGGACTTTTAACAAGAATTTTACAAGATTAACACTTAAAAACAATTATTTGTTTGCTCGACATTATAGTAAAGGTGTGTCCCAGTCTAACTTTTCCTTAATAAAAGGACTACAACAGTCAAATCAACTGTACTTCAAAAGTATACGCTGCCTCGGTGCTCCGGGAGCATGCAGAGAGTGGAAATAAGGAAGGAGGAACGCTGCACATTTCTTCAAAATTTAACAAGATAAGCACCTAAAACAATTCTTTGTTTGCTCTACTTTATAGCAAAGGTGTGTTTCAGTTGAACTTACTTAATAAATGCACTTCAATGGTCAAATTTGGTGCATTTCACCAGAGCGGCACAGCAAAATGAAGCTGATTCGACTGTTGCTCCAGGCATGATCCCGGAGCTGGATGTAGTTGACAGCCTAAGGCAAGCCGGTTGTCTCATTAATAGCCACTTTTACCTATTACATGATACAATGGCTTGCCATACTACTCGAGTGCCATCTAGTGGCTGAAAATGGTAGTTTTCAATATTTTCCATGTCAGAATGAATGAAAACGGTCATATCTCAGTTAAAAATTGGTTTATGAATATGGGGGGAAAAAAAACAAATGCGTTGCTTCGGCGTATAAGTCACAGGGCTTGCAAATTAGGAAAAAGGTGCGACTTATAGGCCGAAAAGTACGGTAGTTGCTGCTTCTTGGCCTTTTAACGAGTCTTTATCATGGGGAATTATTTAGATTATTTATTATTATAAACTCTACTGGATGCTCGTGATCTCCGGGCCCTTAAACGTCACTGCACCTCAAACAGGAATGCCACTGTCAAGGAAATAACAGAATGGGCTCAGGAATACTTCCAGAAAGCATTGTCAGTGAACACAATCCACCGTGCCATCTGCCGTTGCCAGCTGAAACTCTACAGTGCAAAGAGGAAGCCATTTCTAAGCAAGCTCCACAAGCTCAGATGTTTGCACTGGGCCAGGGGTCATTTAAAATAGAGTGTGGCAAAATGGAAGACTTTTCTGTGTTCAGATGAGTCACGATTTGAAGTTCTTTATGGAACACTGGGACACCATGTCATCCGGACCAGAGAGGACAAGGATAGCCCAAGTTGTTATCAATGCTCCGTTCAGAAGCCTGTATCACTGATGGTATGGGGTTGCATGAGCGCTTGTGGCATGGGCAGCTTGCATGTCTGGAAAGGCACCATTAATGCAGAGAACTATGTTCAGGTTCTAGAACAACATATGATCCCATCTAGACGTCATCTCTTTCAGGGAAGACCCTGCATTTTTCAACACGATAATGCCAGACCACATTCTGCAGCAATCACAGCATCATGGCTACGTAGGAGAAGGATCCGGGTACTGAAATGTCCAGCCTGCAGTCCAGATCTTTCACCTATAGAGAACATTTGGCGCATCATAAAGAGGAAGGTGCGATAAAGAAAGCCCAAGACGATTGGACAGTTAGAGGCCTGTATTAGACATGAATGGGAGAGCATTCCTATTTCTAAACTTGAGAAACTGGTCTCCTCTGTCCCCAGACGTCTGTTGAGTGTTGTAAGAAGAAGGGGGGATGCCACACAGTGGTAAAAATGGACTTGTCCCAACTTTTTTGGGATTTGTTGACTGCATGAAATTTGGAAACGACAGATTTTTCCCTTAAAATGATACATTCTCTCAGTTTAAACTTTTGATCTGTGATTTGTGTTCTATTCTGAATAAAATATTAGATGTTGGCACCTCCACATCATTGCATTCAGTTTTTATTCACAATTTGTTTAGTGTTCCAACTTTTTTGGAATCCGGTTTGTACTTACCTCATCTCACTTATCTTCAGCCTTTTTATTTTAGTTTTTAAGTCTGTCTTTCTGCAATTAAACTATACAAGAAATAGCTGACAGATTAAAATTGATCTTCTTGGCTATTCTCTATCCAGATATGCCATAAAGACCCTGCTGAATCACGCGTTCTTTCAAGAGGAGACGGGAGTCAGAGTTGAACTTGCAGAGGAGGATGACGGTGAAATGATTGCTATCAAACTGTGGCTCAGGATAGAAGACGTTAAGAAGCTCAAAGGCAAGAACACTTTAATTATAAATTATCTTTTGAGCCTTATCTGACATAATTTCTATGTGTAGCAGCTTTTTTAGTGATCCAATAAAGGACTCTGGTAGAAAATCAAAGCATGTGCAGTAGTTTGATAGAAGCTGCATCATCTCACTTTCTCAGGTAAATATAAGGACAATGAAGCAATCGAGTTCTCTTTTGACCTGAACAAAGATGTGCCTGAAGATGTGGCGCAGGAAATGGTAAGTTCAGTGACCAGTGGTGAGATACATTGGTGGGTGTTGAAGGACTTGATCAGAACTTGTGTGTCTTTGCATTCCTCAGGTTGAGTCTGGCTACGTTGCCGAAGCTGACCACAAGACCATGGCCAAGGCTATCAAGGACCGTGTGTCTCTGATCCTGAAGAAGAGGGAACAGAGGCAGCTGGTACGAGAAGAACAGGAGAAGAGGAAACTGGAGGCAGAGCAAAAGCAGAAACAAGAGGCATTTAAAGCTTCTCACTCCCAGGTTTGTTGGTGCAATCGATAATACAGCTTTTTGTGTAGCTAACAACGAATCAACGTTGGAATAATTACTTGACGGTATCATGATTCATTGTTTGTGTTCTCACAGTCAAGAACAGAAGAGACTGAGGCAGACCAACATCTGCTCCATCATCAGCAGGCCAGCCTCTGTCACACCTGTAAGACTTGAAAACTGTAGATCTCGTTTAAGTTCGATTACTTTAATACAAGATTTTATGATAATCAGGTCTTAACAGTGTTGTATGTCATTTCAGTTTCAGTTGAAGGTGTTGACAGCGGACAGGGTTCCTCGGTTTTCTCAGACTCACCTCACCTGGGTCAGCTGACCATGTCGTACAGCTGCCCTCCCTCCTCCCAGCCCCCCTCCCAACCCCAAACCCCATATCCCCCAACCCCTTCGGCTACGTCGCAGCAACATCCAGGCTTCTCCCAGCCGCCGCAGCCGATGGTAGGTGACGACTTTGCTCAAATGAGCCCTGACGGTCACGTCACGTCATGACAGCTGTTTAGCAATGAGTAAAGTTTGAAGTGAGCACTCTTGTCTCTGCTGGAGTGAGCTGGAATGAAGTTTGCAGTGTTTGGAAGTAGAATGAGAATTGCAACTACTTAAATTTGTTAACAAATCGGAATGCAGATGTTTGGATTTTTGCATTAATAACTTTCAAAGTCATCAAAACATAAACAGACGGATCTGAAAACTGATTTAATCTGATCCAACGGGCCCAAGAAAGTTAGTCTTATCAATACTTCCACCATCTAAACAGTCAGGTAGGGCTGGACAATAATTCGATATCGATATATATATCACAATATACTTTTATTCAGTAATGGTGATATGAGTTTTAAGCACATTTTTGATATTTCGATATACATTACGCTATGATTACAGCGTTTCACTGACACATTTTTTAACCGGTGGCCGACGTTTGCTGCATGGGTTAGGGTTATGTTGTTGTTTAAAGTTAAAACTATTAATATCGACAAAGCTGAGAGTTTTATGTTTTTTTTATTGTGATTTCAAATTTCTTTGAAGGCTAAATACAAATAAAAAGTGATCATTAATTTATTTGTACAGTTTGTACAGTTTTTCGGAGGCTTTTACATTGTTTATATCAATATCGGAATTATATCGTTATCGACCGAAATTAAGAAATATATTGTGATAAAAGTTTTGGCCATATAGTCCAGCCCTGCAATCAGGTAATAAAATCAGATGTTTATTATTTTCATTAGTTATATTCCACTTACCCGGTAGTTATTCAACAAATTGTGTCGAGTCTGTATTCTTTTCACGTTCCAAGGTTTCATCAGCTGTTTTTATTCCCCACAGTTCTAGAATCTCATCAACCACTTTCCTCTTTTCGTTGCCTGTTCCTGAACTCTTCATCATCATAAAAGCATTTATTCAGTAATTCTTCATGATTCTCATTTTACTCAGTTACTGTTAAATGTTTCATTTTCTAATACTTGATGTTGTGGAATTCAATTTTGGTCGTTTTAGTTGGACGTGTTCGTTTGGACGAGTGTTTTAAGTTTGTGAAAAAGAAACGTGTGTTACAAAGTTTGCAGAACAACAACTAAAGTTCTATAAATATATTCAACCTTGTTTATTTACAACACATAGTCTGTGTTTCCAGATGTCTTTGGTTCTGATCTGACTCAGAGGAAAACAGAACTTGCACTGTTTGTCCAAATGGATGATCAGTTTGTGGGTCTGTTATGGCTTTTGGGGGCATTTTTGAAGTAAAAGACTAATTTTACCATCAAAAATTGTTTTTTGGAGCCATTAAAGTTTATTTTATTAAATTACTTCCTCAGTCTCTTATGAAATTTATGTCTAGTTTAAATGCTTTTTGTTTTTTCCCCTTATTTTCAGGTTTGTTTGCTTTTATTGCATAATGTTATGTTATTTTTCTGTGTCTGGGATTGTATAGATTTGATAAAATAACGCGGAACACGTCAAGAGGTTTGCTGAAAAGTGTGACTGATGCATTAATTTGCCTCTTAAGTTTCACCACTTTAAAGGCAAATATTTGCATTGTTTAATTAAATTTGTTTTTAATGAACGCAATGTCAAGTTTTTTTCTCTGCACCACTAAAATGGTTTGATTTATTTCTGTTTATTTGAGTTTTTTCCCTGTTCATCTTACTTTTCTGTTCTCTTTAAGTAACTTTTTTTGTTTTGTTTTTATGTTGGTCTCACCTTCTTCCCCCCCGGCCTGCAGCCTGTACCACACGGCCGTCGAAGCCGTAGCATGTCTATTTGCGTGCCCCCTTCCTCATACTCCTTTTCTCATGCGCCTTCATCCCTGGTGGTTCCTCCAAAACAGCACACCTCACCTCCTCCAGACCTGTCCTCCCACACCTCCACCACCTCCCCCTGCGTACCTCTCGCAGCTGAGAGGGACACTTTCGCTGGCCGCCTCTCCAAGGCCCTGGAGACAGTCCTACCCCTTCACTCTGCCTCTTCTCAACCCAGGGCCAGACAGCGGAGGGCCAGCCTGCCTGCCCTGTTCTCCACCCCTGTAGGTTTCACAAATGTAATCCCCAGTGGTGGTGAGACTCATAGAGAGGAGAGAGAGAAAAAGATGAGGAAGCTTTGCCACAGGGAAAATTCACTTTTAAAATGATGAAATTGTTTCATGAAAGCTGTATGTGAAACAAAAAAAGATCAATTAAATACAAGTAAATTGTGCAGTTTCTATTATTTAAGCGGTTGCAGCAGTGTTTGATTGTAGGTACAGTAGTCCCTCGCTACTGCGCGTTTTGTTTTTCGTGGACTCGCTGTATCACGGTTTTTCAAAATAAGATTGGACATGACACACAATTGGCTGATAGATGGATTAGTTGCACGATCCGCATGGAATTTTTATTTAAAATAAATTATTTAAAATTATTTAGCACCTGTGTGCAGCCCACAGCTGCGGGAGAAGCTTCCTCCTGCAGCTGATCATATCTCCACTCTGCAGTGGAGAAGTGGGCGTGGCCGAGGCAGAGAGCTGAAATCATGACATGCTGTGCTCTTTTAGAGCGTTTGGAGTTTAGAAACATTTAGAATATTGCAAGTAGAGTGTGGGAAGGGTTTAAAATGCCTTTATTTATATATACTAAAATAAACTACTACTGTCTACTTGTATTACTATCCCTACTCTGCGGTTTTTCACTTATCGCAGGTCTTAAGACTACGGATCCCCCACCATAAATGAGGGACTACTGTACATTTAAATATAATTAGAAACTGGTTTTTAACTAAAACAGCCTTTACATTCTTTTAACAGTACAGGAAATTAGGCTGATTTATTTATTTTTTTCGTTTTCACCAGCTTCAAAGTTAATGGTGTAAAATAAGATGAGCAGCAAAATATATTTGCCAAGTTAATGCATTTTAAATCACGTTTTAGCTCAGATAAGCAGGTTGACATCAGTATTGATTCCAGTGTTTCACATCGTTGGTCCCAAATGCACCCTGTCTTGCATGTTATGAAGCAACACTAGAATCTGGGAGGTTCTTTTGCTCTCTGGTTCCTCTTGCAGGAATTATTTCAAGCAACAATGTAGAGTAATGGAACATGACTGGACAGAAAATAGGACATTTTTATCATTTGATATTGGTGATAAAACAAACACGCTCATAAAATGCAAAAAATAAAAATAGAACAAAAATACATATCCTTTTCTACAGTAAAGGTTGTTTTCTAATCTGGTTCATGTTTATGGAGCATTTGAATTATAAAAAAATAAAATAAAATGGGCACAATTAGCATATTTCAGTATCATTTATTACAAGCTTGCAGAAGACCATTTAAATGCCCACGACTTTAATGTGAGACTTCATGAACATTACCAGTTTACACGAGAATAACTGATCTGTTTTGCTTTCTAAGTTGTGATTAAAAAAAAGCTCTAAAGCAAATTTACTGAGCATTACTTGTACAGAAATAAAGTTATGCAAAAACTTTGTTTTTTATGTTTGTTTTTTTCTTAGTGTTCTGTATAAGAAATAAAAAACTACTTCAGGCGCTTAAGATTCACAACCTTTTTATTTATTTAAACAAAAGTTTCAAATATACCAACATTACTTTTACAATACCTATGACCATCAAAAATACCATAAAGCTGCCTTCTTTGTTAGTGCTGCTTCAAATTTGCTTTCCAATAAATGTGTGTTGCAGTTGTGGCACATCTAAGCATGTGAAGTAGGGCATCCCTGGGACCAAGAGTGAAAAACTGGTTTACTTTATCCCTGTTTCAATTATTCAAATGCTTCCGTCTATCTTTACCTCTCTCGTCCTCTCGTAGGCCATCGTGTGTTCACTTCAAGTACAGACTGAGTGTCATGAGTCATAGCCATGCTTTATGGTACAAAGGTCCAATATGAGGTGCATCTCCAATCAAAGTTTTCTCCAAAATGAACAAACATTAAGCAAAACTATAATTTTATATTTGTGTCAAGAATTTAGGCTGAAAATAGTCAATCATAGCTGCATTTTTCAGTTAATTCTAATAAGAATCAGTTTTAACTAAAGATGCATCTGAATATTGCAAGACGTAAAGTCGACCTTTTGTGTTCCCTCTTCGGCTGTTTGTTCCCTGTTGTGAGCTTCTGGATCTGTTTTTCTGCCTGGCCTTTGTTCGGTCTGTTTGTGCTGCAGCTGTACAGGTGTGCCACTTGATCTATTTATTGTAACCAGCTTTTTATCTCTTCCTTACCTTTTTTTTTTTTTTTACAGCTGTTCTAATTTTTTTAAGTACATAATGTGTTTTACATTATGCTTTTATTTTGAAGGGTGAATATATATCTTTTCTTCCTGTTGCTTTTATTTTGAGTTTCTTTTTTTTAATCAGTTTTCTTTATTTTGTGTGGGCTTTTGCTTTGGTTCTATTTGTCATTTTCTTGAGCCTCATTCTTAAATTCATTGTATCTCATTGTCGCAACAGCATTCTATGCCACACGGAGGCACTGGAGGGAGCATTCCTCACCCAACTCTCTCAGAACCTCCTACTATTTTCTTCCCCTCCATCCCCGAGCGCCCCGTTTCCTTCTCGCCTCCTCCCGCTGGGCCTCCAAAGGGCTACAACACCCAGAGACGCAAGAGCACCTCCATTCTCGAAGCGCATACCCGACATTTTCAGCCTGCCTACCCTCGCTATGGGAGTAGTCTCCACCCCTTTTATGGAGTAGAAAGCATCGAGACGTCTCCCCTATTAATGGTCAACCCTGGTTTAGCTGCAGCTGCTCAGAGATTTGGTGCTGGTGAGACCCTGCATCTACCTGGACAGTCAGATCCAAGTTTATATGGGTACAAAGACATGAGGGCAGAACATGAGGAGGCAGTGAGACGATTAAGTCTGAATCAAGCTGCTTTATTGGACCATTATGAAGCACTGGCTTACGGAGGATATCCAATGACTGCACACCAGCTGGGACAATTGAGTTTCCATCATCAGAGGCAGGCAGCAGCTGCTGGTTTGGGCTTTGATCCTGGTCCACCACCACAACCAGGATTCTTGCACCCACACATTTTGCAACAGATAAGTGCACACAGCCCAATACCTCCACCCTTAACACCCATGACCCCATCAACAGGTGGCTCAGTCACTACTTCATCATCTGATGGATGCTATCCCTTACAGCATGCTTCTTCATCGTCCTTCCCCAGTTCTGCACCTCCAGCGATCGTTGATGCTCCTCCGTCTGCTGGAAGTGTTTTTGAGTACCATTTAGCTGCAGCCGCTGCAGCTGCAGCAGCTGCTGGGGACCCCAGCCTGCTGGCTTCCAGACTTTACAGAGCCCGAAGGAGCTCCATGGACCTCCCTCTGGAGGACGGCTCTGGAACAGGATCTGGTGGGTCTGGACTGTACAGCCGCCTCCAGCCAGTCACGGAGGAGCTGTACGCATACATCAGTCCAGAGCTCCCATTACCTCCTGGAAATCTTCTCCTTCACCACACTGGAATAATTGTAAAGGACAAAAGCCCTGAACCATCAAGTGACTCTCTGGCTTCCTCTGACGCAGGAGAGTTCCAGTCCCCCCCTCCCCCCTTTGACTCTTCAGCAGCTCAGTCTATCCCTCGCTCATCCTCCTCTGCACAGTACGACTCGTCAGGGGGAGTGCGTCACGAGGATCCACAGGGACACCCACCTTCAGTGCAGAACTTCTTTCCACCCACGCCATCGTCAGAGGTCCCTCATGGGGGGGCAACATCTACGCAGCTGGAGTCTCTGGTGCAAAGTGCCTGGTCCCGGCATGGAGGAGTGATACCAGCCCAACCCGATATGACATACCATGAGTCATTGCTGGCCATGCAGGCTGCTAACCCCCCTCTGGTACAAAGTTAAACCTTAAAAACACCTCAAAGCCTCTGGGTTAATTACTAAATGAAATTATTTAAGTGGGGTTTTTGCAACGTCTTCAATGTTGCGTAAAATTTCTTAGCCTTTTTTTTTCTTCCTTAAAATTGTTAAGTAAATGTCTTTAAAGACATTCATAAGCTCTTTTCTCTTTAAGATCATCAGCCAATGTCAGAATTGTGTAACTGAAATGCACCAAGTCGCCTGTGTCGTTGCAAAAAGCAGTTTAAATAAATTATATTTAGTAACCTGACTCAGAGGCAGTGATACAGAGCCCTGTTGTTTTTCTACCCTGCTGACCCAGGCCCCCCCAGCCGATGCTTATTTGTCATCCTGTAGTCTTGTTCTGATTTTAACCCCCCCTACTGTTATATCAGCGCCACAGAGAAAGCCTCATGGTCTTCCATAATCATGCCTCACATATTTTCTGTGTTTTCTAACAGAAATATTGTGTACAATAATTTGAACAAAGGGCGTGACTTTAGTTGAAGCTAATTCAAGTTTTAATAGAAGAGGGAACCTTCCACAACAGATCTGAGAAAGACAAGAGCATTTAATTCCAGTCCAATATACCAGTAATTATTTGTATAATTGCTTTAAAAGCAACAGTGAGGAAGACTTTGGGACATTCTCTGGTGTACAAACCTTAGACGCAAACAGTCTAAGCCCCCTCTATTCTCTTTATGTTGTGTATTTTTTTTGTCAGTATTAAGTAAGTAATTTTTTGTCTGTATGTTCATATATGTATGTATATGAAAAATGTGTGTTTGTATGGATATACCGATTCTGTGGTATACCTAAACGTTGCTTGTACAAATCCAAAGTCAGAGTTGCTACTTAAACTGTTAATTACCCACGTCTTTTTTTTTTTTTTGTTCACCAGAGAAGATGTATTATCTCCATATACAGTCATTTTAATAGACATTTAAACCAAGGCTTTTCATAAAACCACTGAACTGGTATAAAGCTGAAAGACTTTGCTGATTTGTATGAACAAACACACAGAAACATACAACAAAACTGAGAGGGCTTGGACAAATGAAGCTGTAACTATAGCGAGCCATTACTGTGTAGGTTATTTCTGTTTTGTGTTGTAAATCTTAAAGACCTTGGCTGTTAAGTGAGTTTGTTTCCTTTTACGTTGCCATTTCCTGCCCTGACTGAAAATCTGCTACCTCTTCAAAGATGACTTAAAATTTGTTAAACCCTTAGAATACTGATTTATTTATACTTTCTTAGCTCCCTTTACACTCTGCCTTTTATTATCACTGAGCTATCTAATAATTCTCTGTTTTTATACGTCATTAACTAAACAGTAGTGTTGTCATTTAGCTTCAATTTTGATTAAATTTCCAACAAACAAACAAAAAAATCTTCATTTTTTTTATCTGACCTTCTTCCACTGTGAACATGGTTGCTTTTACTAAGACAAAGGTAGATTGCAGTGTGCCTGCTGCAGCATGCTGTACATGATTAAGCTCTCTACACATAAAAGTAAGTTAGATGACTAGTGCAGAGTTGCACACAGCCATCTAACGGTTCATATATCAATTAGTTGCTCATAACTTTTATGCATGTATTCTGCTGTCTTACAGAACCTTAGATTATTAGAAAATTTAGAATGAAAAATGACCACTCTGCTAGGCACCATTATATCACAAGAAGGGTCTTTTGAAAATCCTCAGCAGACTCTGTAAAGGTGCAGCGCAGCTCAGGCAGCAGGGAGTGTCTTTTTAAAGTTTCAGCGTAACCTGATTTCTTATTTTACTACTACAGCCTCTACATTGATCTTCGTTGGGTCCAGTATGTAACATCCACTGATTATCACGTAGGATCTTACCTGCATGTAAAACTCCTACTTACACCCTGCCTAACCCCAGTTCTGTGCCTGTACTGTTGCTGTAAATACAGTAAATGTGCATATATCTGTTGCTGGATGGATTAGTGTTGCGTTTGTACATGCGTGCATACACAAGAGGAGAATCTACCATTAACTCCTCACCAGTAAACTGCAGAAGTACCTTGTGTTTGCACTCATGTATGTTTTTGCATTAGAAGCTGCAAACATGTACTGACTGTTTTTTTTTTTTTTTTTCTTCTTCTTGTATTTCTTGTCCCAATTTCTCACCTCCATCTTTTATTTCTTTCTGCTCTACAACATTGGATCTTTTCTTCTTGGTCTGTTCTTGTGTCTCTCTATAAATCTGCTTTCAAGCAGCAGGTTCAGGCCCCCACATCTCAGCCAAGTCCAGGACCCCCTCTGGTCCCAGCCACCACACAGTCAGATCCTCCTGGGATGTCCCAACAGGTAAACAAAACGACGATGAAATAAAAAATGAAAGCAATGTGTGCACTTTTTCCTGCATGCAGATACATACTGAAGCAGCTCTACCTCATTATGCACTTGTTCACTAATAACTTTCTTTCCCCAGAGGTAAATACTTTCCCCCAGATGTTGCAGTTTTTCCACAAAAAATTATATGTAACATGATGTTATTGGGCTAAAATGTCAGAATAGATCCAGTGGTTCTTGTTTAAAAATATGAACAAAATAATATTCAGGGGTAGACATAAGAAAATCTTCTTGACAAAATTCTGTTCTCTGCCAAAATGTTTGGTTGTCCACAAACTTTACAATAAAGAAGGCAAAAAAAATCTCAAGAAAAATGTAGTTTAATAAGTATACTGCACTACATACAAAGTGTACTGTATACAAATGTTCTCAGTCAGCCATCTTGTGGACTGCTTGGGGAGCGGCAGACTCTTTCAGGAGCTGCTGGAGTGGAACTTCCTTGTTCTCCTCATCCTCTTCCCCATCATCAGATTTTGCAAGAGAGGCACTCTCAGGGAGAAGGTCGCCAAATCCAATCACGGCCAGGGGCCTTTCTGGGTGGAGTTTGCATGTTCTCTCTGAGCATGCGTGGGTTTTCTCCCACAGACCAAAAACATGCATTAGGCTGACTGGTAACTCTAAATTGCCTCTAGGTGTGAGTGAGAGAGTGAATGGTCGTTTGTCTCGTTTGTCTCCATGTGTCCCTGTGATGGACTGGAGACCTGTCCACGGTGTCCAGGTGTCCCCCGCATCTTGTACAGTGACTGCTGGATATGGTCACCAGTGACCCCCGTGACTCAAAAAGGAAGGAGCGGGTAAAGATATTGGCACGTTCAGTGTAATTAAGGAAGAGATTAAAGAAAATGAATAACTTGCACTGTACAGCCAATATAAAATTATTATGGCAGCCTGACTCCTGCTGTTGTAAGAAGCCTGTGAAACATCCCCTCTGTGTCCCTCCTCTCACACAGACACGGCATGAACAGGTGAGCCCACCCAGCTCTCGTCACCTCCTTATGATGGATGCAGGACAGGGTGGGCAAGATCCGGGACTGTCCCACCCAAATCTGGACTTTTTCCCGCCACTTTCATTTTAACAGATGACTGAAATCTGTCGTGGCGACGTAGAACTTTAGTCCATGTCTATTTTGCTTCGTTGTCCACCAGTCGGCCTCGAGACGAGATCTGGTTGTCCGAGAGGAAAATGATTTGTTTCAGAGAAACCGAAACCGCTTCTATCAACCCCTGATATTTTTTGTTGGACTTAAATTTATGTCCTTTTCTTTGAAACAATGCTCAATCTGACGCTGTGTGTTTTGGTATTTCCCATCAGGTTGTGTCTTCAAGTCAGAGTTGTACCTCTCTTCAGAGCCCCACACACACAGCTCAGGTACCTATTGTTATTATTATTATTATCATTGTTGTTATTATTGTTATTATTATTTAATTATTATTTTAATTATTTATATATATATATATATTTATTCATTTATTTAAAGAAGATCAACTGTGTGCTTAAATAGTCACTGCATCTTTGCAAAAAAAGTGCTGGAATGAAAATGATGTTTTAATATAAACTCAGCACATTTTTAATGTATTTAGTGTAACGTATGTCATAATTAAATTTGGATTAAACAAGATGCGCTAAACTTTTAACCATCATTACAAGTAATGACGCTGTATGCAAATATGAAACGTAAATGTTTCATTTTATGTTGTTGGTTTTTTTAAAGCACGTTCTGTTCTGATCCACCTTTAAACTTTCAATTCAGCTCAGTTTGTTTTTTATTTATTCATTTTTTTTATTCTTTCCTTCTCTGGCCTGCTTGTGGGCATGCTGCCTGTGGTTTACCACCGGGTTTGTTTTTGTGTTTTTCCACATTTCTGTTTATATGTGTGTGTGTGTGTGTGTGTCTAGTTCTGTGATCTCAGTCCATTTCCTAGTGTCGAACACCTTTATCTTTTGTACCAAACTGCCCAGCAGGTTCTGGTACAGGTACTTTTGTTCTTTAAGATATACTTTGTGTTTCCACTGTAATTTGGTGACTGTGTGTTCATGTGTGCACCTAGTAACTGTGGATCAGTGCGATTTGTTTGGTAATCTGTATGATTTTGAGCGAAGCAGATTAACTCCATGAAATAGTAGCTTTTAAGTAACCTAACTCATCTTTTTATTCTCATTGGGTGGCGTTTTTCCCTTGCTTTTTACCAAGAACGCTCCAACTAACCACCTGATTAAAAGCACAAATCATGAAAATGAGTAAATTTTATGTAAATGAAGATGGGCAATATTTTCTGGGCTAAGACTGATAAACGTAAAAAAGTAAATAATGAACTGGCAGACAAAGAGGGTCTAGAAAAATGAGTATAAGCAGCGCAAAGGTCTTATAACATTAAAAAAAATCTTTGTTTCTACTTATTTACGGATTATTACCACTTGAGCTATAGTCTACAAAATGCAACCATATTTTCTGATAAAAATGTAATAATGTGTTTAAGATATTGCTGTTTGTAGACAAAAAAACAAACTCTTGCACATTGCTAGACACAGTCAATGCTGTGTCAGCCCTAATTTTAAAACATTAATTGGTGTTCTTTTGCTTTAACCTTTGCTAATTTTATTCTTAAACCCCCCCCCAAAATAAAGCTGTGGATGTGGTTATTGAGATAAAAATGAAGTAAGAATGAGGATTATTTACAACATGAATCACAACCCTCTGGTTGTTGGAAAGATTGCAAGTTTTAAACTAATCGATTGATGTCTAATTAACATCATGTAGCTACATCATTTTTTCTGGTGTGGACAAGCGGTAATTATTCGTGACAGATGTCTGACACATTTAAAAAGAGTGTTTTTTTAACTAAAAATTAACCAGATGAAAATACTTGGTGGTTTGTTTGCATAAAGGTGTAACATCATATCTTTACGTAATGTTCCATTAAAAGTGCGTTGCATGCCAAATCTAAAACGACTCGCACATGAAAAGTTTTTTTTTTTTTTTAATATTTCTATTTCTCAAAGTCTTATTTTGGTATTTTTAGTAAGGACAGTAGCTGTAGAAAAATTGTCAACGTAAATTAATTAAATCCTGTTTTTGTCTGCACTGTTACCATATCTTGACTTATTCAGATATGAGTCATAAGAAATGGCTCATATGAAGGAGACATTTATTTAGCCTTTTGTACAGATGTTGCCCCTCTATAATGTGAAAATAATTTGCTTTTGTTTTGTTGCATGGTGGAGTGGTGTGTTTTACACAGTTCTATCACAAACACTGGTTTTAGAGCCGTTTTCTGCACTTTAACGTGATATTTTAAGGAAAGCTATGGTATAACGACCAGTTTTAGCTCAGTCTTTTCTTAAGAGGCTTTGGAGTTTAGATTTTCAAGTTTGTTAAAAGCCCTGATCACCTGATAGGTTTTTTTTACTTCCTCGTCTTCTCTGTGACATTACCTCCATATTTTTCCTATTTTCTCCTCCTCCTCCTTCGTCTACCCTTCTGCTCCTTTTCTCGGTCCTTCCCTCTCAGCCCAGCGTGGCTCCTCCTTCCTCTTCCGCTCCCTTGGCGACCCTCCCTTCTCCACCGTCTGTCCCCATGGCCGTGCCGAGAGCAGTCGTGGCCTCTTCTCCCTCTCCTCTGTCAATCCCTGTTGGGGTGGCGCCTACACTTGTTTCCCCTCCTCTTCCTCCTCTCGTGCCTGCATCTGTACCTCAACTTTTGGCCACTGTGGTGCCAACCATCAGCATAATCTCCGCCCCACCTGATACTCCCTCGGAAGCCCCTCCGAAGGTACTGGTTATGTTCAGACCCACCAAGTAGATGTCACGCTCCTGCTCAGGTTCTGCTAAAATCTGTAGAAAGTCCCATTCTTGCTCCAAGGTTTCTAAAATGATGTTCTCCATTCTTTTCTCAGAAGGTATCATTAAAAGTCAATTAGCTGCTAATCGGATTAACTAGTCATCAGTAGTTTAAACTCCTTAGTTGCTCTTTCATAAACACTATTAAAAATGTACAATGCTACAGGCACATTAAATAATTTAGACGTGGAAAACCAATGAAAAGATGTCTTTTGTTGCTAGCATGGCATTTAAATCTGTATTATTTAAGTCTTATACAGAAATTATTGGTGTTTCCTGTTGAGTAGCTCGTGTATCTTTGTTTAAGAATAAAAAGATATTTGTTGTAAGAAGAATCTTTTGTTCTTGTTGGTGGAGTGTTTTAAAGTTTTAAAACATTCATGTTTTGATTGGTCTCTCTTTTTTTTTCTTTTTTTTTACACCAAACTCATTTTTGAAAGCAGTGATTCCCAACCCTGGTCCTTGAGGAACACCATCCTGCATGTTTTAGTTGTTTCCCTGCTCTAACACCCCTGATTCAGTGATTGAATGACTTCCTCCAGTTCTGCAGAAGCCTGTTAATCACCCATTCAGTCAAATCAGGTGTATCAAAGCAGGGAATCAACTAAAACATGCAGGATGGTGTCCCTCAAGGGCCATGGTTGGGAACCACTGGTTTAAAGATTTATATAGAACAGGATAGTTTGAATAATTGGAAATTTGAACCCTAATTCCCTCTGCATATATTTGGTGTGTTTCTTTAAATTGACTGAGATTTTTTTTAAATTACTTTTATCCGCTTCTTTTGTTAGACTTCATTTATTTTGTTTATTTATTTTACAATTCACTGCTGCATTTTTTTTTTTCTTACAATGCTTAATAAGAAAACCTGGATACTGGTTATGGACATTTTCATGTTGATGTGTTTGTGTGTTTCAGTCCTCCTCTCAGTCTTCAGAGCTGTCACAGGGCCAACTACAACCCCCACAAGTCCTTGCTTCTATTGAGAAGTAAGATTTGAAAACACAGTCACTGATCTGATTCACAGTCTTGGAATAAAATACAACCCCAATTCAAAAGACGTTTGGATGTTTTGTAAAATGAATATAAAAACAAAATGCAGTGATTTGCAAATATGAACCCAATGACAATTCACAATGGAATATAGTAAACAAGTGTTTAAACAAAAAAAAAGTACTTTTATTTTTTTAATTTTTTTAAAGTTCATTTAAAAATGTTGTTTTTGGGCAGAAACGCATCTCAAAAAAGTGAGAACAGAATCATGTTTACTGTGAAGCATCCTTTTTTTCAACAACAGTCTAGAAACGTCTAGGACCAGCTGCTGAAGGTTTTGGTGGAAATGTCTAATTTTGATCTGAAAAAGGATCTGTTCAACAGCTCTGGGTCCTTTTTGCCAGATTTTTAATTTCATGAGCCACCAATTGTTTTCAAATGGTGAAAGTTCTGGGCTGCAGGCCCAGTTCAGCACCAGAACTCTTCTATGAAGGAGCCATGCTGTTGTATGAAGTTTACCATTCTATTGCTGACATACGTTAGGTCTTCACTGACTGAATGAACCATGTTTAAACATTCTGTGCATTGTTGGTGCCTTTCCAGATGGGTCACCTAAGCACTAATGCACCCCCATACCATCAGAGAGGTAGGCTTTTGAACTGTGTACTGATAAAAGGCTGGATTGTCCCTTTTCTGTTTAGCTCAGATGTTATGTAGTCAGTTGTTTCTTAAGACTTTTCAAATTTGGATTTGTCTTGACCACAGAACAGTTTTCAACTTTGCTTCTGTCCATTTTAAATGAGCTTTGGCCCAGAAAAGACATCAGCATTTTCTGGATGGTGTTTGCATGATGGAGCTTTATCCTGTTTTGTGGATGACACTGCGTTTACAGACAGTGATTTGTGAAAGTTTCTGAACCCATGCAGTGATGTTCATAACAGAATCAGACTTTTTTTTTTTTTTATGTTGTGCCACCTGAAGGACTGAAGATCACCAGTACTGACTTTCAGTCGTGTCCTTTGAACAGAGATTTCTGCAGATTCTTGAAATCTTTGATATTATGAACTGTAGATGATGAGATATTTAAAACCGTTAATGTTTTGTTGAGGAATTTATTGAGCATGAACTTTGTTGGTTTTGAACCAGTTTGACATGACTGTCGACGAGGAAGAGGGCCGGCACTGGAGGAGGGGGCGTGCCAAAGAGACCATCTTAGCACCAACGTAACTGGTTTGTTCCACTTTGGAGTAAGCTGTTGGTGAAAGACTCAGCTTTGTGTTGTGTGTTTCCTTGACTGATGAAGCTTTCTGGATGGAAGGTGAAACGTTTCAGCACAAAAAAAAGAAACTGTCCAGATGATCTGACTGAAAAATGTTGGATTATTCTTAAAAAATACACTATTTTCCGACACTTGTTTTGGCAGAAATGGTGAACCTCTGTCCATCTTTACTTCTGAGAGATTCAGCTTTTCTTTTTAAATCCTGTCTGTTGCCAGATAACCTAAATAGTTGCAACATTTTCCTCCAAATGTTTATTATTGTATCACTTTAAAGCCTTCTGTTTGCCTTGTTGTTTTTGAGATGTGTTACTGCCTTAAAATTCCAAATTATTAATTAAGAAATTATTGAATTTGTTAGTTTAAGCATTTGATATGTTATGTTCTGCTGCAAATAAAACATGGAATTATGAGTTTTGCAAAGTATTGCATTGGTTTTTATTCACATTTATTATTTTTGTCATTGGGTTTGTAAACATTTCCTGGTTGCTATTTGATGCTTCCTTTCACACTTCTTTGTCTAACACTGCGCTTCAGCGGCCACTCGGAGACATCAGGCCTGAGTGACGGTAATGAGGGGGGAGGCGGCCGTCATGAGGGGCGATCCACCAAACGACATCAGAAACGTTCCGTACGAAGTCGATCTCGCCATGAGAAGACTTCCAAGGCCAAACTCCACGTTCTCAGTGTAAGAACTCACCACATAACTCCTCTAACGTTAACGAGTCATATTATGCACTGTGCTTGCTGTCAGTATTTATTGACTGTGTGTGTGTGACTAAATGCAGATCTCTAACCGAGGGGACAGGGTAGCGGAGTGTCAGCTGGAGACTCACAACAGGAAGATGGTGACATTTAGATTTGATCTAGACGGAGACAACCCTGAGGAGATTACCCAGATCATGGTACACACAAACTCACACCTGTGTTCACATTTTAATCTTTTTTTAAACTAGTTTAACAACAAACTCCTCTTCGGAACAAACTGAAACACCTTCTTGCTGATGAAAAAAATCTCTTCTCTAAATTTTTGTAACATCACCATAAAGTGTACCTCAGTGGTCCGTTGAAAAGAATAACTATTTTTTATGACGTTTTCAGCGTTTCACTAAAGAGGCTTTAACAAAAGGAGCAAAATCTGAGCTGTTTGAAACAAAACGTCATGATATAAACATAGTGTATGAGTAATATGATCCCTTAGCATGAAGTCATGTGATCTTTAAGATGTAGATTCCTATTTAATACCTTAAATGGTCTCAGACACACTTGAAGTCGTAGCTGAGGTGCATATTTGAATTGACATGCTTAAATAAAAATAAAAAAGAAGCTGAAATTAAAGCTTTGTTTTATATGTTATAAAAACCAACTTTAAAAAAATGTTTAGAGTATTACTATTGATATGGAAAGAGCCACTGTAATACCGAAGAATACAATCCTCTCTATTGCATAATTTATGATCTCGCACCGAGACAATCTTGACCTTTTATTGTAGCTGAACCGCATAGAAAATTATAAAGATACAAACTGGAAATAGTCCACAAGCACAATAATTTTTAACTGGATGTCATTTCTTACAGAGCCTATTTTAAGCTTATTTATAGGTTTATAAATGTTTTATGGCTGCTCACTTGACTGGTTTATAAATTTTTATCCGATACTCTCTCTACCGCAGCAACTCTTGTCATTAATTATCAGAAAGAGAAAACAGTTGGAAGGTACAGAATGTTCTGTTTTTATTCTGTCGTACCAATAAAGAATGAGAGGCACACGCCCTCTGTTTGATGTTGAACAGCTGTCTGATCATCTGACTTCCAGAATCAAATCCTGCTTGATACCTCTGTATTAAAGCTGGATCATGGGATGACATGCCAGCGTGCGATATCAAATCATTGAAAAGACTGAAGTGGAGGCAGCAGATGTGCTCAAATTGTTGCCCTTCTTTCTTCAAACCCTCACAATGACAGTTTTTATGTACCTGGTTTGGAAGGATACTTTAAATACAGAAATAATATCTCTCCCTCTTTTGAAATGTGTGTCTAGGTTCAGAGTGAGTTTATCCTGGAGGGTGAGCGGGAATCATTTATCGAGCAGGTCAGAGAGGTCATCGAGAATGCAGATGAGAAGGGTCTGGAGAGGGACGGAAATAGTCAGGTAAATAATAAGAAAAATAATAAATGTGTTTTCTGTCTTTGTTTCCTTTTGCAAATTTAGAAGATGAGTCATAGTTAGGTGTTATCTACTTTTTGTAGCATAAAAGTGATATTGCTCTTTGTAGTTCTTTTTGAATTACCGTATTTTTCGGACTATAAGGCGCAGTTAAAATTCTTTAATTTTCTTAAAAATTGACAGTGAGCCTTATGATCAGGTGCACCTTATGTATGAAAATAGACCCGTTCGTTGATATTGCGTCTTATAATCCGATGCACCTTATATAAGCCCGAACAATACGGTACTAAATTAAGTTGTTGATCTACAGATGGTGGGTTACCATGAGGTGAAAATTCCTGTGACATCCACCCCTATGCCTGGTAAAAAAAAATAAAAGCAAAAGCTTTAAACTAACAGACATCATGTAACATACAATATAGTTTATATAGAATTACAAAAATTAGACTTTGGTTTGTTTTTTTCATTTCTTAGACATCACTCCAAGTGCTACAGCACAAGTCGTGCACTCAGCAGGTCGTAAATTCATCGTTAGTCCTGTACCTGAAAGCAGGCTAAAGGAACAAACATTACCCCCCTCACCTTCTCCTGCCCCTGCACCTTTTGTTGAAACAGGTAAGCTTTCAGCTCACCCCATTCCCTCTTCTCTTATTTGATTTTCATCAAATGTCTGCGTCATATTCTGGACTAAAAATCTGTCCCCGTTCTTTTCCAGTCCCTCCGTCTTTGTCTCAGACAGCAGGCCAAGCTTTGGGTTTGTCCCAGTCTGCAGGAAGGATCACCTTACAGCAAGCCTTCTCTGAACTCAGACAGAACAACAGTCAGTTTGATGCAGGTCCCAGTACCGCTCCAGCCTCCATCCACTCCGCCCACCCCCTCCTGCAGCCTGCAGCAGCAGCCTCAGTCCCTTCTCTCAGCAGCACAGTTACTCCCGCTGTGGAGGCAACTGCTTTAAAGCAGGCAAAGGAGCAAGTCCTTGAAGCTTCTCCCCCACCCTTATCCTCATCTTCTACACCGTCCTCTGTGCCCCCCGTCTGTCTCAGTCCACCATTTACTTCCTCCCCTCCTCCCACCATGGTAAATCAGAGCCTCTCCCAGTCACAGGTGCTGTCTCAGCCGATGCTGCAGACTGTGTCCCAGCCACAAGCACAGAGTCAAACAGCTGTCCAGCCCCAGGCTTACCTGCCATCCCAGACGCTTCCTGCTGCCACAGATACTCCACTACCTTCAGTTTTACCAACAGCCAGCATCTCTAGCATTCCCCCAGCAGTCCTCCCCTCCCTGCCCCCTGCCCAGGCTGTTCCCTTTGTGCCCTCGCCTCCTTCTTCCATTCTTACAGGCAGTGAAGTTCCATCAGATCACCCAACAGCCTCTCCCACTTCCTCCCTTATTTGTTCTGTCACCCCTTCTTCTGTTATCCCCACCACTGCCATCCCAGGTCCCCAACTTGCTGCTTCTGCTCCTTCCCAACCCACTCCGGCTCCCTGTTCCTCCACTTCAGTGGGGCTCCAGACAGTGACCTCGAATGTTCCTCTGGTCCAGCCAACTTTGGTCCACTCCCAGCCACAGACAGCAGCTCTGCCTGGTCAGACACACACACATTGCGCAGATTGTGATACAAGGTGAGGAAGATGGATTATTTTTCTACAGGTTACGGCCGGATGTCAAATCTCAGTGCTTGCATGATGTTTGACTGAGTGGAAATGTTGCTTGATCGACTGTGGTAAATATATTTGATAATAATAATAATATTATAATAAATGTTTGTTTCTCAGGTGTGAGGCCTCCTCTGACTCTTTAGGAAAACCGGATGATATCCAGGCTCTGGACAAAAAGCTGCGATCTCTCTTCATGGACCTGGGTGTGGGGGCGCCATCCACCCAGGGGGACATTTTAACTGCTGACCTAACTTCTGGAGCCTCAGGGGCAGGAACCTCATCTTCCTCCGTCACAGCCGTCACTGCTCCAGTCTCCAGCCAGTCAGCTAATCCTCCTCAGCCCCCATCCAGCCTTGCATTGGGGTCATCTGCACCAGTCCAGGGTCCTGGGACACCTATATCCACCCCTGCACAAACTGGTATGTTCAGTGCGTTCTTCATAGTTATTGTTTTTATATAATATTTCTGACTTGATTTAAATCTTCACAGTCATCCCTGCCTCTTCCACTCCATCTAAAACCCCGTTATCCAGAACATTGGTAAGTTCTGCAACATTTCATATCTAATAAAACCAAAGTTTATACAAGTTTGTTTGTATACCGTATTTTTCGGATTATAAGGCGCATTGGATTATAAGGCGCATTGGATTATAAGGCTCATTAAGCCAAACAAAACAGTCAGATAAGTCAAACTTTGTTTAACTCATTCACAATAACCACATAAAGTCGGTTCAAGGTCAGTAAGCACAACCAGAATTAATACATACTGTCGATTTTTGAGAAAATTCTAGGATTTTAATTGCACCTTGTAGTCCGAAAAATATGGTATGTAAGTTAATAACGTGCATGTTTTTAAATAAATTGCTACGGCAATTTCACTAAAACATCCTAACATCTATTTCATGAGCACCATAATATCTTCAAGTACTCCTCCTACTTGGCATGGGAATTCCTTTTAACATCCTCGCCAGTGTTATTCTAATCTCTTCTCCGATCTTCTCGTCACATCTGTTTCTCTGAGATTAGGCCACTTCTCCTCCTTCAGATCTCCTGACATCCTTCCCTGGACCTTCTCTAACACAGGTGTTTTATTTTTGTCCATTTTAAGGCTGCTAGCTTCACAGCAATGCTGCACTGTCTGTCTTTTATCTGCATTAGACCTAATTTAATCAGTGGATGTGTGCGAGTGCTTCTGCTTCGTTTGTCCTCATTTATTTGTTCTTACTGAATAATTTAGTGTTCAGGCAATAACTCTTAACAAATTGTGACAATTATCCATCTTACTTCACATCCAGCATGTCGACTTCACAGGATAAGGGTGAATAAAATAAGTGCACAGGAAAAAAAAGATGACAGCAGTGGTACAGGCTGAGGACACTTCAGGCCAGAGAGACTTTAATTTCCAGACTGCGTTGTTGTGGCTGTGAATGCTGCTGCCTAAAAATAGGCCTTTCTTTTCAGCAGAACAGCACACTTGAACTGCAGCTCTTTTGTAACAAATTTGACCCGCCATGTTGTAAACCACCCCCCCCC